ATATCTCCCTTTTTAGCACCGTTTGTTCTATATTTCCCGAAGTGGCACCCTTTCGGCTGAGGTGGCGAAAGGCGCATCCCCGGGGACGCTCCTTTCATTAAATGTCTTAAATGCCCATCCGATTTTTCACCAACTACCCCTCCTCCTCCCCTATATAAACCCCCTCAACCCCCCTCATTCTTCACACCAAAATCTTCTTCTCCTTTCTTATATAACTCAAATTCTCTAAATCTTTGAGTTTTAAATTTCTTATTAGTGGTAATAAATTTATTTTTCAGTTATTTTTTTAAATAGTTATTATATTTTATATTAATATAATAATATAAATATTATTTTTTATTAAAATAATATTTATATGATTATTATATATTTAAATTTATTAATTAATTATTTTTGTGCTAATTATTATTTTTTGTCTACAGTTATAATGGAAAGTGAAATGCTGTTGCGATTGGATGCTGACCATATCTCCATACATTTTAGCGATATGGTAATATTTTTTTATAATTAATGTTAATATTTATTGTTATATTTAATTTAAATTTATTATGAATTTATATTAATTTTAATTTTTTATAATGCATATTATTTAGGATACTGATCGTATTTTAGAGACATTTAAATTTAAATTTAAATTTATAGTATTCAAAATTTAACATTAAATTCAAGTTAGATTATTCCAATTGTATTCAAAATTAAAATTTATATTCCAATTATAGTTCACAATACTTAAATTGAAATTAAATTTATCCATACATATGATTTTATCATTAACATATATATTAAAACGTATACATTAAAATCAACTTATCACTTCACATTTATTCGTAAAAACATGTCGATGCTCATTGCATACAATTTCAATGTCACAATAAACTTATCACTTCACATTTATTCAATTTATCCATAACATTTTATCTAATTTATTCAAACTTCACATAACGTTTTAATTTAAGTTATGAACTTAAATTTATCTATATATATAATTTTATCCTTAACTTGCTGAACTTCCAAAAGAAGTTAAATTTTGGTTACAATTTACTTGATTTCACCATCCATCTATAGTTCCCCAAGAACGCGCCCTCGGGAACGCGCCTTCACGGTCCCCTAAGGAATAATAGGTATTGACATGAATAGTTCCCGGGGGACATAAGTAACATAATAGGGTAATGATAACATATTCTCTGACAAAATAATGAAAGGTGCGCCCCCGGGAACGCGCCTTCACTGCCCCCTAAGGAATAATAGATATTACATGAATAGTTCCTGGGGGACATAAGTGACATAATAGTGTAATGATAACATATTCTCTGACAAAATAATAGAAGGCGCGCCCCTGGGAACGCGCCTTCACGGTCCCCTAAGGAATAATAGGTATTGACATGAATAGTTCCCGGGGGACATAAGTGACATAATAGGGTAATGATAACATATTCTCTGACAAAATAATGGAAGGCGCCCCCTGGGAACGAGCCTTCACGGTCCCCTAAGGAATAATAGGTATTGACATGAATAGTTCCCGGGGGACATAAGTGACATAATAGGGTAATGATAACATATTCTCTGACACAATAATGGAAGGCGCACCCCCGGGAACGCGTCTTCACATGAATAGTACTCTGGTTATAGACACTATTATATGTAACGTATTATGTCACTTATGTCCCCCGGGAACTATTCATGTCAATAACTATTATTCCTTAGGGGACCATGAAGGCGCGTTCCCGGGGGGGCGCCTTCCATTATTTTGTCAGAGAATATGTTATCATTACCCTATTATGTCACTTATGTCCCCCGGGAACTATTCATGTCAATACCTATTATTCCTTAGGGGACCGTGAAGGTGCGTTCCCGGGGGCGCGTCTTCCATTATTTTGTCAGAGAATATGTTATCATTACCCTATTATGTCACTTATGTCCCCCGGGAACTATTCATGTCAATACCTATTATTCCTTAGGGGACCGTGAAGGCGCGTTCCCGGGGGCGTGCCTTCCATTATTTTGTCAGAGAATATGTTATCATTACCCTATTATGTCACTTATGCCCCCCGGGAACTATTCATGTCAATACCTATTATTCCTTAGGGGACCGTGAAAGCGCATTCCCGGGGGCGCGTTCTTGGGGAACTATAGATGGATGGTGAAATCAGGTAAACTATAACTAAAATTTAACTTCTTTTGGAAGTTCAACAAGTTAAGGATAAAATTATATATATAGATAAATTTAAGTTCATAACTTAAATTAAAACGTTATGTGAAGTTTGAATAAATTAGATAAAATGTTATGGATAAATTGAATAAATGTGAAGTGATAAGTTTATTGTGACATTCAAATTGTATGGAATAAGCATCGACATGTTTTAACGAATAAACGTGAAGTGATAAGTTGATTTTAATATATACGTTTTAATATATATGTTAATGATAAAATCATATGTATGGATAAATTTAATTTCAATTTAAGTACTGTGAACTATAATTGGAATATAACTTTTAATTTTGAATACAATTGGAATAATTTAACTTGAATTTAATGTTAAAATTTGAATACTATAAATTTAAATTTAAATTTAAATGTCTCTAAAATACGATCAGTATCCTAATAATATGCATTATAAAAAATTAAAATTAATATAAATTCATAATAAATTTAAATTAAACATAACAATAAATATTAATATTAATTATAAAAAAATATTACCATATCGCTAAAATGTCTGGAGATATGATCAGCATCTAATTGCAGCAACATTTCACTTTCCATTATAGTTGTAGACAAAAAATAATAATTAGCACAAAAAATAATTAATTAATAAATTTAAATAAATAATAATTATATAAATATTATTTTAATAAAAAAATAATATTTATATAATTATATTAATATAAAATATAATAACTATTTAAAAATATAACTGAAAAATAAATTTCTTATCACTAATAAGAAATTTAAAACTCAAAGATTTAGAGAATTTGAGTTATATAAAAAAAGAGAAGAAGATTTTGGTGTGAAGAATGAGGGGGGGTTGAGGGGTTTATATAGGGGAGGAGGAGGGGTAGTTGAGAAAAAATCGGATAGATATTTAAGACATTTAATGAAAGGCGTGTTTTCGGGGATGCGTCTTTCACACGTGGCAACTGAATCAGCAAATAAAAGTAAAGCGCGTCTCCGGGAATGCACCTTTCGCCACCTCAGCCGAAAGGATGTCACTTCGAGAAATATAGAACAAACGACACTAAAAAGAGAGATATTCGATTAAAGGGTGTCAGTTTAATCAAATCGCCCATAAAGTACAGCTGGTTCAGAAAGATGACATTGACATGTACAGAATAGAAGTACACAAAATTCCACATAACTGTACTTGTTACATCTAAGCAATGAGCTAGTTAAAAAATGTTGAATGCACATGATTTAGAGCAAGGCTAGGATAAAATTTAAAACATTAACATTAAAATTTTATTCAGTACGAACAAACGATAGCTAAAAAAACAAAAATCAGCAACACCAATTAGCCATAAAGGCACTAATAATAACTGTATTTGATTTTTTTTTATATAAAACTATCCATCGAATTCCTTCAAATGTCAAAAATTGAAAATTAGGAAATGAATTCACGTGTCACATATTATATATATTATAGATATTAATATATAAGCGCAAACGATGAAACGCCTCTAAACATTTTTTTCAAAAAGGAATTTATAGGTGAATTAGAAGCGTAATCCGTAAAAATAAAATCTGAGAAAGGAAATAATAACAGAAATAATAATTAAATTTCTGTATGATCGAATTCTTTAAACGCAATCAAATTAAGAAAAACAAAGAACATAATACAAAGGTAAACATAATTCATTCTGAAAGAAAAAGATAACTAACTAAGAACATTGAGGAAGAGGAAGCAGATTCAACAGAAGATGATAAAAACAAGAGGATATAAAATTAAAACGAACGATATGAAACGAAAGATGGATCGATCGTAAAAAAAACGTGAGATATAAGTGAAGGAGAAGGGTAATTACCGCCATGATATTTGGCAAAGGAGATAGAGTCGCTCTGATATGGTATTTAGGCAGGCCCTCTGCTCTCCTCTCTTCTCCTTCCTTGTTGATAATTGGTTTTTCTCTTTCCTTCCTACGAAGGAGAGAGAGAGAAAGGAATGTGGGCTAAAGCCTAAATGTATTTTGCTATCTTGGATGGTCGATACCTATATATTTTCTAAAGGGTAAACTATACATTTAGTACCTATATTATTACATGTTTTCACTTTTTAATGATAATATTTTATTTTTTAATGATGATACGACATTATCTTATAATGTTACATCAACATTACCGTTACGATTTTAACAGTAGATACCAAAATAAAACTTAAACTAAACGTTAGATATATTTTTAAATAAAATAAAATTTGCGTACTAAAACAGAACAACAATAATAATTTAACTACTAAATATATAATTTATCTTTTTCTAAAAAATTAATATAAAAACAAATATCAAACTATACTTTTAATAATTATAAACGTTTTTTTTAAAATATAATAAAAATTATTATTTGACACATTTCACGATTATATTATTTAAAAGAAATTTATTTTTTTATCAAATAACTAACAATAAATATAAAATATAAATGTTCCACGTAGATATTGATTTTATTGTTTCCAATATGTTTTTTCTCGTAATTATTTTCCTGATTCTCTCAAACATAAAAATCTTGATGGAAATTGAAAATGCAATATTGGACGCATGCACTAGAAGTCTAGAACAAATACCATTGCCAATTTGGCATTGGAGAAGTAATTGATCTAAACTTTTGCCTGATACCATGAATTGAATCCTTAAATAACAACGGCAATTAAGTTGAGACTTCAGAGCATCCATTTATGTGGCATAAGATTTTCCTTCTACATGCTACTGCCCATATCAGAAAAGAACTGAATTCAGACATGGTTTTGCAAGGAAGGCCAAAAGCAACATTGATATATTTATTCTCAAACCTAATTAAACATCCCATTCATTCACTACACTACAACTTATTCGACAATGAAATAAAAATTGCACAACATCAAGCTGTGTTTGGCAGCATGAATCTATCCTCTGAATACTTGAAAAGGCGGTCGCAACATCATACAATATCGAACCTGAAAACACCGAGAGCTCACGATCACGTCTTTGGACAATAGTTACGCGGATTAGGAATTCGCATTTACTGTTTATTTCAGTATGCATGAGACTTGCCTATACATAAAAACTGCTTACAGAAGCTCCACAACAAGTGCCGATGCACCTCCACCTCCGTTGCAAACACCGCCAACTCCGTATTTCCCGTTTCTCCGCTTCAAAACCCCCAAAAGTGTGACCAAGATACGGGCTCCGCTGCAACCCAAAGGATGTCCCAAGGAAACAGCTCCACCGTTCACATTAATCTTCTCCTACAACCATTTATGGAGGGGAAAGAACTTGAGATGAAGAATGAAATGGTAACTTTCTTCCTGACATGCATTGACTCCGAAACGGCCAAGAGAGATCTACTTTACAGTATGACACATATTATTTATCTCACTTTTATGTTTAAACTTGAAAATAAGTAGGCAGGTGCTTTTGAGAGATTTAGAACTCACTGGATTAAGGTCAAGAAGTTTCTGGTTTGCAAGAGCCACAACCTGCAGAGAATGGGGCATTATTGCAAAACTTCCAACTTTAACAAAGGTAATAATATATTTAGAAAAAAGAACAATTATCTTACAGCGAAGGCTTCATTGATTTCATAGTAGTCAATTTGAGAAGCATCCAAGCCAGCATTGGAAATGGCTTTGGGTATTGCAAGGGATGGAGCTGTTGTGAAAAACTCTGGAGCCTGGAAATCTTTCTCACGTAAGTAACAGGTTGTATAACGATTAGCATCAAAAGTAAAGTTCGAGACTTCAGTTTGGCAGTTCCTCCAAAATTTTACTTCAAATTTGTAAATAATTGTGAAAAGTACCTGAGCGGCATCTGCGTATCCAGCAATCTTTGCAATCACCTGCAGTCCCAGCTTAAGTGCTGTTTCTCCACTGACAAGGATTAAAGCAGCAGCACCATCACTGCCCATAAGACCAACTTCCCTTTAATTACAAATTCCAGATCATTTCCATAAAAGACTTATTAGGTCAAATTGAAAATCGTTCCTTAATTTTGAACCAAACAGGGAATTGCCTGATTGCACGACCCTCAAGATGGGGCCTATGATAATGGACTCATTGAAGTGGAAAATAAGCTATCAATAGGAAAACCAAATTGTTCATCGAAGAGTTCAGTCAAGAGAGGTGAGCCTTTTACTTGGACATTTCCTATCTGATTATGGTTTGATATAAAATGGAATTCAGGCCTAAGCATCAAGTGAATAGAGATGTCAAGAAAAGAACCTTATACTGGAGGCATTCCCGGCAGTAACAGTGCCTCCATTATCCTTGAAGCTTGGCCGCAGCTTCCTCAATTTTGCAGCATCAAACTGAAATGAAAGCAATAATTGGAATTAGCTATTACTCAAGTGGAATAACATCTATTTAATTTGTTTAGGCAATATAAAGAAATGAAAAGAACAGGAAGCATCAAAGTTTGAAAAGTGATAGATGGCTCTAAATTATGTTTACCTTTCCTAAACCTTCATCCTTGTCAATTATGATGGATGGCTTTCCTCTTCCCCCAGGAACTTCAACCTGTGTGGTACTAAATTTGGTTATCTACAATAGTTTATACATGACGATCCATAAACTTATTATTAAGCATATGTCTAACCGGAACAATTTCCCATGTAAAGGCTCCACCCTGTTGAGCAGCAATACCACGCTCAAAGCTCTGAACAGCAAAGTTATCCTGCCAAAATCATGAAGATATAAGTCCAAAGTTCTACCCAGGAAAAGGAAGTCCATTTCTTCAAGCGACCCTTGAAGAGACCATAGTACCTGGTCCTCTCTTGAAATAACATGTTTCTCAGCACATAATTCAGCACAGCTGCCCATGCCACAATCATTATACACATCCCATAGTCCATCTTTCAACATTCCATCTACAAGAGTATCATGCCCAAGCCGAGATCCTTTCCTGCATGCTTATACTTGATCAGAAATCATAACTTGAACACAATAAGGGAACCATGAACAGGAGAGCAGTATTAACCTTGCTTCTGCCAAATATTTGGGTGCATTAGACATGCTCTCCATGCCACCAGCCACGACAACATCATTGATGCCCAGCTGAATACTCTGTGCTGCAAGCATTGTTGCTGCAAAGCCCCAAACAAAAAGGAAAAGAATACTGCATTTAGGGAATAACCTCTTTAAGGTTTTCAGAACAATAACACTTAAATTGTAATGTGCAGACCTTTCATCCCAGATGCACAAACTTTGTTAACGGTGGTACATATAACTGAGTTTGGTATTCCTGCACCTAGCGCAGCCTGTCTAGCTGGAGCCTGACCCAGATTTGCACCGAGTACATTGCCAAAGAAAACTTCTTGCACAAGTGACGCATCAACATTTGCCCTTTCAAGAGCAGCTGCATTTTAACATATATAGAAATTAAGTAAAATGGGTGAGTATCCTAAAATAATGAAACAAACACAATTATCTGACAAGTGAACCAAGGTTTTTCCAATTGAACCTTCTATAGCTATTGACCCAAGCTTGGTGGCAGGTAAAGATGACAAAGAGCCAAGAAATCCACCCATTGGAGTACGTGCAACACCAACAACACAAACATCTGTACAAAATATACAACAAACATTGATCAAAACATAAGCAATTTGGATTGCAAGTTTTATTCATCTTATAGGAAGTAAAACAACTAAATTATCCTCAAATGATCTCAATTACTCTCTTTTTTTCATTTTATAAGCTAAAACATCTATACCAAAGGATTATTACCAGTGCAAGATGATAAAATATACACACATGTTTCCACCCATAAATACAAGGAAATCGTTTTCAATTATTACTATAACATATTAAGATAATTCATATCAAGGTATAAATCCCAAGGTATAAATCCTCTCACGGGATTTTTACAATAAATGAATAAACCAATCACAAAAGTTATCAACCATGCAAATCTCTTGATGCATCAACACAGAAAATTTTATACCTCTCGGCTTTATAGAATCTGAAGATGCTGCTGCTGCTGGAGCCATAGGTGAATATAAAATGGATCTGCAAAGAGTACAAGTTACCATAAGCTACAGCTTGATAAAAACATAATATTGATGATTATAGTTTAAAGGGTATTAAAAATTGCCAAGAGTCAAGAACAATTAGTGTAACAAAAATTTTGCTTTTTTTTTTTTTGTTATTCTTAAACTTCACATCAAAAGCATGGGCTATAACTTCGTACTAACATGAATAAAGAATGTTAGTTTTTGGTTTAACAGCCCAAAAATAAAAGTTGAGCTAAGAGAATATGCATTTTAATCAATATTTTAAGCCAAAATATAATCGAATCCCAAAACTAATCCGAGTTAAATATGGCTAATCCAACTGTTGTAACTTGAAGGGGATTTTTTTTGTTACCACGAAATCACACTCTTTTATTAACAAAATACACAGATACTTCAGTGAAAATATAGAGTAAATTCCACAGTACCAATCGAGTGAAAAACTTATAATCACAAGAAAAGACGTTGTGTACAGGTAAACAGATCTGATTTGAATAATAATTCGATTAGAAACTACTGAAATCAATTTGAGGAGAAGAAAAGCGAAAATCAAAATGAAACGCTTCACGAGCGGCCAAGAAAATGATCAAAGATATTGGGAGAAAGTAGAAATACCCGTGGATAGTTTCGTTGAAAATAATTGAAGCAGAAATGAGGGAGATGACGCAACTGAAAGTGTTCTGGTTAACGTATTTATACAAAGGAGAAGCGGGACTGTCGAGCACGTGCCTCACGGACGAGTGCTTATTTACAAATCAATCCTTACGAAATACTAATTATTTCACTCTTGTGTCCCCCGTACGCACAAATTTATTGTTTTATTTTTATCATAATTAGTAGATTTTTTATTTTTGCATTTAAAAGTTATTTACGAAATAAAATAATATATCCTTGTCGACACTCTTTTCTCCTTGTAGATTTTAGAAGGGAATTTTAATAAGACCATCTTTTCAAAAATAAAAAAGAGCGTTTCAACTATTCTTTTGATATTCATTTAATTTGCTTTTAAAATTACTTTTTAATTAAATTAGTATCTAATTAAACCATGAGATTAAGGTCATGTTTGTCTTGACTTTTCAAACAAACTTTTAATTAAAAAGTTTAACCGTAAAATCAATGTCAAACGGATAAAAAATATATAAAAAATTATGGTTGAATCGGTGATTTCAAACCAACCGCAAAAGTTAGAATTTGAAGCTTTTTCATTTTTCAGTTTTGTGTTTGGGAGCAAATTATAATTCTACCCTTATTAATGTATGAGCTCCACTCAATTATGTAGTTACATTTTATTTTAATAATTTATTATTAACATTCTTAAAAAAATAACTTATTACTTAATAATTTAATATTAACATCATTATTTAATAATTTGTTATTTAATAATTTATTTTAATTTATTTTATATTTTTATATAATTTAAGTGATATATATATCATAGTATTAATAAATGTAAATATAATTTAAATTCTATATTTTTAATTCACAACATAATGTCTATAATGGACATTTTATCATTTCAAACTCAGCTTTTAATAATAATTTCAAATAGTTGAATTTTAAATTGCAATTCTAAACAATATTTTTAAAAGTTCTTTTCTGCCGTACTTTTAAAAAACACTATTTAAAAATTTTACCAAAATGATCCTAAGTACCCTTGAAATACTTTTTAAAGTTAAGACATTATAATATTTTTATCAACAATTAATTTTTTTTAAAAATAAACTCCTAATTTTAAACATCATATTTTAAGTCATAGAATTTCAAGTATCAAAGCCATTATTATTTATAGAAGGTAAAAATCGATAAGTAATTGAAATCTATTAATTGACTAAGTGATTAAAAATATGTATGTTATTTTATCTTATGTGAGCTTAAATCTCGACATATTCTAAAGAATGTAATACCCTTTTATTTAATCAATATATATAGGTAATTTAATGAAGGGTTAGAACCCATTGTGAATCTATATGTACTGAAATAATAATTTTCTTTTAGTTTAGGATGGTGAAAAGTAACGTATATTTAGAATTTTCTTAGTTAACAATTGATACATATATTTTTTACGGCCGATACTCAATCTCAAAATATCTAAAAAATAATAATATTTTTTATCAATAAAATCACACACAAAATTTACACTGAAATAATAATTTAAATGTGAGAAGCATTGTTCTCTCACAAGCATATTTTGACTAGCACGAAGAAGACAAAGAAAATAAATAAATAAGTTGGATTTGGTATACGCAAATGGTGGGTGAAGTAAAAGGACAAAACTGTAAAATAATGAAAGGAGAAGGACTTGTTTGAAAAATCTGGTCAGAATTGGGTCGAGATAAGTAATGGTAAAATATTCAATCCGGGGCTGCGCCGGCTCAGGTGAATACGACGACTGGGAGCATCAAGCAGACCTCCCCACGTGATTGCTGCTGCTCTTGGGAACTTTATTGCATTACCCACAAATTAAATAAATCCAATAAGATGAATACTAATAATTTTGTACAAAGTATTACTTTTTTTATTATCCAAATTAATAGATGTAACCAAAAGATTCTTAAGAACGTTTTTATTTGGCAAATGGGTGAGGCGATAACAACGATGAGTGTCCGACAACATTAGTTTCCGCTATCCATGTGGCATCTGCTCAATTATAGAAATAATTTGCAAGAGTATTTGAAGAAAGTTTTGGATACACTTATTTGTCTATTTATCGTTATCTTTTAAAATACTTGAAATTTAAGTATTTAAATTCTTTTTTAGTATCGTACTGACCCAACTTGTGCTCATGCTCGTGTGAACATATATCTTCCACACGTGTTGCGTACATGTTTTTAATAAAATTTGTATATACATAATTTTACATCTCGACTCTTTTTCTTTTCTTTTCTTTTTCATGTTTTATAAACTTCAATAATTATGCCATTACGTATGTGAAAGTTTGACTGGTGTGACATGCTTCTATTTCATGGGACAGAAAAAAAATGTTTTTTTCTCTAAAAATATTATTGGATGTTACTTTGCTAAATAATTATATATATGTATATAAGTAAAAAAAATGTCTTGGATCTATATATAGTACAATGGTTATTGCTGAACTAGAAAAAAAATTCAAATCTACTAAATGAAGTAGGACAGCTATTAGAAGATTTGGCAAGGGAGGTTGGGAGCCGAAGAAATAGACCTTTGCATATAATGACACTTTTGATCCTTGAAGAGTGGGAGCAAAATATTAATAAACAAACATTAATTATTAGGATAAACAGTAATCTAATTTTTAAAACATATGCACTTTAATCACTGGAAAAAAACTCATTCTAAACTCATCTCATTACTTTATTAATAAAAAATGAAAATGAAAATTAAATGTGAAGGTTGTAAATCAAACTTGGGACCTTTAACAAAAGGCCCACTGAATTAATTTAACAATATTTATTAAAATAATTAAAATACAAACGTTCTAAAAATTGAGGTTGAATGACCACTAATATAATTTATTAAAATAAAATAATATTGTAGCCGAAATTGATTTGTGTGACGTTTGGTTCGTTAAAATCCCTTGAAATTAGGGGGAATTGGAATCCAATTCCACCACTTTCTCATGTTTGGTTTAAGTTTTCAAAGGGAGAACTGGAATCCAATTCTATCAAGGGAGGGAAAGTAAATTTCATCCATAACATGATGAAATTGAAATCCTTTGGAGGAGGAAATGTGAAATTTGACCATACTACACTCGTCAATCTTTTGGTAAATGGGTCGGATTTTTTTAAAAAATTTTGGGATCGAGTCGGATTTTTTTAATAAAAATTTCAGGTTCGGGTCAGGCTTTTTTAAGTGTGATATTCGGGTCGGGTTCGGGTTTATGGTGAAAAATACCTGACCCGACCCAAAAAATATATATAATTTTATCTTATATATTTAGGAATAATTATAATAATACCCTCTCTATATAATTTTTTTCAATTAAGTCACTGTTTTTATTAAATAAAAATAAAATTTTTATTATTTCGTGTCGGGTCGGGTTTATAATTCATATATTCGGGTCGGGAGAAACTTTCCTTTTTCACGGGTCGGGTCGGATGGACCAAAAACCCGACCCATGGCCATCCCTAATTAGGATGATTTTAACTTATAATGTTTATTAATATGATTTTTATAATTAATTGAAATGAATAATCAATAAATAAAATGAAATTTTAATATTTTTTAAATTTTTATAATATATTGTTATATGTAAGTTATAAAATAAACTAAAATTATGCCCAAAAAAAACAAGAAGGGTAATTTTGTCATTTTATATTACTGAAATCAAATTCATCTGACATATCTGCGAACCAAACAAAATATAAAATTAGATTCCAATTCAATTTTCTGCCAACCAAACAGGTTTCAGATTCAGATTCTAATTCCTACAGATTTCAATTCTTTCACAGATTCTAATTATCTCATAAATATTCTAACAAACCATTAAAATTTCACCAACCTCTTTGAGCGTTACAATTGCAGTTCTCCCTCAAGTCAAGTCAGTCACCCATGATTTATTATTTTATTATATAAATAATATTATTGGTTTTCAATTTGTAATATAGAAATTTCAAATCGGTAACTCCGGTTTCTTTTCCTCTTTGTTTTTCTCCTCTTCCGTATTTTATTTTTCATCACCATCCAAACAATTATATAAGAAACTGATTTTGTCGCAATCTACCATCTAATAAAACAGGCTGTTCAGAACTCGAATATATTTACGTGTATGTGTTGGGTTAATATATTATTCAAAGTTAGTCTTTCTTGACTCACTACTTTGCTTATTTAATAAATTCTAATATATAAAAAATACGTACAAATAATTACTCAAATATTAATAATTTTCTCTTTTAACGATCCTAGAATAAAATTTTAAAATAACCACTTAGTTTAATTATTATATTTGTTTACTCACAATTAATTTAATAAAAAAATTACTTGATAATTTAATCCCATGTAGTAATAATTTAATTCTTACTATTTATACATCATATCATTCTAATCATAATTATAAAAAATAACTCTTGGCATTTATATATCAAATCAATTTGATCATCGATCATCAATTTCTCAGTATTCTTGTGCATATGTTCTATTTTACGAATCCATGATTTTTCAATTTCATTCTAATATACTCCAAATTTGTTCTAACGATTACTCGATCTAAGATTAGAGTTGACTGCTAAAAAGTAGAAGCAATAAGTGTATTATAAAAACAGCTGCAACACTGTAACTTTTTTATTTATCAAATTACATTTTTGGATAATTTATTATAACCGATAGATATATGAGGGTTTGAACATCGTGTATGCAAGAATTTTTTAACGTTTAATATAAAATGATTATGAGTCTTTAAACATATAATATCTTATATCTATCTAATATTAATAAAAAAATTCTAAGATTTAAGAATTAAATAAGAAATTAACCATTTTTAATATGTCCTCGAAATAATAGAAACTAACTGTTTAGTGATCGAATTGTAACATAAGTTATAAACTTTTAATTTCGTTACAAAACGAACACCGTATCATTTAGTTGTTAGTTATTATTAATAGGATAATGTGACATATTAAAATTAATTAATAATATCTTATTTAATTTCTTACCTCCCTCTTACCCCATTACATATGAGAACAAAAGATAGTCATTTTATTTAATTTCTTATTAATTTTTATTTTAATATATCTTTTAATTTTTTAAATAATAACTTTATCACATTAGTTAAAGGAATCGTTATTGTTTCTAAGTAATTAAACTTAATAGAATTATTTTTAAAAAATTATAATTTTAACAAGTAATTTACAAATCATAAAATTTTAAATATTTAATTGTTTATAATTTATCTCTAATTTCATTATTTCTTCAATCTCACTTTTATTTTAAATAAAAAATTGAAAATACTTTACAAAAATAAAAATCGAATTCCACATTAGTTTAAGGGTAAATTACACAATTCCTCACTAAATTTTAGTCTCTCTTATATTTTACTTATTATACTTTCAATTTTTTCAATTTATTCACTAAACTTTTGAATTATTCCTATTTTGTTATCTAAATTATTTTATTATTGTTATATGATGTGGCATTTTTGTCATTATTTAATATAGAATAATTTAAAATATAAAATAAAAAACATATAATGGTTGTCCACTATTCGTCGACGTTGGACACCATCATCGCAGTTGTAGATGGTGGTTGTTCGATTCCAAATTTCATCAGCCATTTTGTCTCAACTCTTTGAGTCCAAATTTGACCTCCATTTTGTCGAAACATCTTTTGAATTTGATCAAAAGTGAGAAAATTGAAACGTTGACTACTGTAAATTGTGGTCGTTCGATCTCAAATTTCATAGATTGATTTACCTCAACCTAACGAGTCTGAATTCAACCTCTATTTTTGTCGAAACATGCTCTGAAGTCCACAAATATGAGATCAAAAATGAGGAAACCAAAATATTTCAGTCGAGATTCACAGGTTCTATGACATTTTTGATGAAACAACCACCAGATTCGGATTCGGCATATTAAAGTGAGTCTCTCAATACATTTTGGGATCAAACATTCTTTGGTTTCGAAAGGCGACAGTGGTTGACGAGGATGAGAATGGATAATGGTGATGTAGACTGTGGAGAAGTGAAAATATTAATTTTTTATTTATTATAAATTATTTTTTATATGTTAATAATAAAAAAATATTTTGATATGTTAATAATAAAAAGTATCACGTCATAAAATAATAATAAAAAAAAAATTTAGAGTGATCAAAATGAGAATAATTCAAAAATTCAATGAAAAACTTAAAAGTTGTAAAAGTATAATAAGTAAAATAAGAGTAAAATAAAATAGGGAATAAAATCCAGTGACCCTTGGTTTAAATAAAAATGTGAGAAGTCCAAAATTCTTATCGCCTTCTGCTAGTAAACTTTCCCAGAGTTTTCCGCCATTGACAAAGTCTTTCCAATCGATTTGCGTCAACTCCAATTTATTTCAGGTTAGTCCTTTGCCTCTTCCATGGTGATCGTGTTTTTTTTATTAAAAAAAACTATTTTACGAGAGAGAAAAAACTCCATAACATTGTTGGGGATTTGAGGAAAAAAAACTCGATCTGATTCACATGCAGCGACTAAGACAAACCAAACTTTTCTTCAAACCTTTTTTAACATCTTCCATTCTACCACTGTCTACCGATCTCAAGAATTTTTGTATTAGAACTGCTCATTTTCTACCCGTTTCTTGGTGGATTTTGTGTTTCCTCTCAAATGATATGCAATTGTTTTATTTATACTCGAGCTATTCATTGGTTTTGCTTACTGGTTCCTTTTTCAATCAGTTAGAAACTTCAAATTCAGTAAATTTTGTTCATACAGATCAATCTCATAGTGAATCATTAAGTTCTGTCAGATACATGTCGACTTCAGCAAGTGCTTTAGCAATCGAAAAGCAGGTTGAATTACTTACTGGGGTGGAGGATAATTATGAAGGAATCATCCTTGAAATGGAGAAATATATGGATTCTGATGCCTTCCTTTCTTTACTTAGAGCTTCATTGTCACAATGGAAGCAACAAGTCAGTAATTTCATCTCTTCATCTGCTTTTTGTCAAATTCTAGTAATTTTAACTAGAAATCGTTATTTTTTTTATTTTTATTTCTTTGCAGGGAAAGAGGGCGGTTTGGATTAAATTACCTATTGAATTTGTTAATCTGGTTGAACCCACGGTTAAGGTAAATGCATTTCTTGGTGAATAAAGGAACTTCGAGTATAAGAATGGGGGTTGAGTTCATTGATTGTTTTGCATTGCTAATTGATCAGGAAGGTTTTAAATACCACCATGCTGAAACAGATTATCTAATGCTTGTAAAGTGGATCTCCGAATCTGCCAATACCATTCCTAACAGCGCTTCACATCGTGTCGGGATTAGTGCTTTTGTTATGAATGAAAAAGGAGAGGTACCCTTTCCTCGATTTCGTTGAATTGAAAAACTAAGGTAGTTTTCCTAATTTCAAAATCTTCACAATTTTCATTGCTTGTTCTATCTGTTAGGTGCTTGTAGTTCAAGAGAAGAGTGGCAAGTTCAAAGGCACAGGTGTCTGGAAATTCCCCACTGGAGTTGTCGATGACGTGAATTATCTAAACTTATGGTGTGTGTGTGTGTATATAGATATATATCTTTGGCTTGAACTGAGAATTCCAGTCCACAGGGTGAGGATATTTCAGAGGCAGCAATGAGGGAGGTTAAAGAAGAGACTGGGGCAAGTGACAATACGGGTTTTCATATTTGAATAATTATGAAATTGTATATAGTTAAACCATGAATCTAACCATGGCTTTGCTTGTCCTTCAGATCGACACAGAATTTGTGGAAATTTTAGCATTCAGGTATGATGGTTCCATTGATTGAGTATGTAGGTGTTTGTTAAAATGATTGACAGAATGTTTTGATTCCTAAAACATCTAGGACCACATGATGGTTATATGGATTCAGTTTTTCCTTCGAATAAACCAAAAGCTCGGCCCTTCCTCTCTATCTATAGTTGCTTTACAGATTTAGAGTTTAGACTCAAGTCCTGACTACCTATTTCCAAATTCAGGCAAAGCCATCAGTCGTTCTTCACAAAATCAGATCTGCTTTTCATGTGTATGTTACGTCCGCTTTCATTTGACATTCAGAAGCAAGATAGAGAGATTGAAGCTGCCCAGGTACATTCCATGAACACTTTCGATGAATACACTGCTAGTAATAGGACCCTGGTAGCTGATTAAAATAGTTCTTACCAGAAAATTCCACTTAGCTGGAGATCAAGCAGTAATCTTCGAGGACTGAAAACACCAAGCGATGTCGGAGATGATTCCGACTGTATCCCTCCTAGGGATTGGTATATAGGTCCTATAGAGTGTACAAAAGTAGCAGACTAACTAGGGTCTAAATATGATTATGGCATGCCTTATGGATGATGATAGAGGAGATACCATAGTGTCCTTGAAGTCTTGGCACCCAAGGTAAAGGCTGGGTTGGCCTGAGCCAATACACCAAATCTGGGTCTCCGATCATTCATGACGGCGGAAAGATCTAAGTGATGGAGTTAACACAATAGTGATGAAAGAACAATTAGTAAAATATCAGGCAACAACTGAGTAGTCATTGCCACTGGGATTGGTTGCTTATTTATTTATTTGTCTTTCTTATATCCTTCAGTGGATGTCGCTCGACGACTATGCAGAGCAGCCTTTTATCCAGAAACATGATTCCTTCCGAAGTGTCGCCAAAGTATGCTTAACAAAGTTAGAGAAGGAGTATGCCGGATTTTCCCCGGTTCCTACAACCACTACTGCTTCTGGCAAGACCAGTTACTTGTACTTCAACAGCAGGGATGTGAGCAAACTGTAAGCAGCAGTAACAAGGTATGAATGAAACTCTGATTCTTTCTATGCTTGCAAGTTGCAAATGCCGATACAATAGAAAATCGAAGTCAATGATAGAAGTTATGTTCAATGTTTCTGAAGTTTTTCCATCTACGGGGAAGGTTCTCGTGGGATTATATCTTCGTACTAATGTCTGGATATGTGTCGAATACTCAATGTCGGATCTTAATATATAGTTTTGAGGTGGCCAATTACTAGACTAAAGTTTATATTTTAATTTATATATCTTATTATATTTTATCCATATAAAAAACTTAAAATGTAAACACTATACTTTAGAACTTGTAAACCCATAATTTTGGCCAATCATAACTAAAAGTGTGTATATATATGTATGGAAGTATGATTTTTTTTTTACTTCTCTTATAAGAATTGAATTTCATCAAAATATCAATTTTACTGTATATAATCACATATCCAGATCAAACAAAAAAAATTTCCTTTATTGTTTTTCCTCAAAATTCTCCAATTAATTATCTATTTATTGCAGTGGGAGGCTCAACTAAACTGTAACCATGAGTGAGGTACACAATGTATATACAGCATTCCTCGATGCCATTATGTCCTTTGATGCTGTGTAATTGGCCTAAGCTTTGTCCAAATTACGACAATCTCTCAATGCATGTATATTAGACCCAATGCTGGAGCGAAACTTGCGTTCACAGCTCAGCATGGGCCATTTAATTTTCAATTATATATAAAAAAGAAATCGCATTACAAAGTGCATCATATGATTACAATCTATTCAACAAAAAATAATGATACAACAAAACAAATAAAAAGGGGAGTGGGACTAATCACTTATTGCTGAAAAATCTGCAGTTTCACATTCAAGTGAACAACATCCCAATGCAAAAGCTCAACACCACCATAACCAATCTCCTATCTCCCAATCCTTCAAATCCATTCTTATTATCTAGATTCTGAGCATCAGCCGGCTCGCCGTCTGTCCGTTCATTTGCACCCGGCCCACTTGATGCGGTTCTGCCGGCTTGAACACCTCCTTAGGCAACAACACCTTATTGATTTTATATACTACCAACGGCTCTTCATCTTTTACAATCCCCGTGATCTTGGCAGTCACAACGGTGGTGTCCAACGTCACCACCTCTGCTGCTTTGTCCACCGTGAAATCAAACTTGTTCGCTCCGTCCGTTGCCAACGTGTTCAGGATACCGGCGTTGGTTTTCAACATTTGCATGTTCATGTACACCGGGATCCATGGTACAACAACAAAGACTTTTTCTTTGGCGCTGTCAGATTCTTGTATTAGGCATGAAATCATTGACGACCTTGTCGGTTGGGCAGAACACCGTTAGACCGGCATCGATGTTTTGGTTGAATGTCTCGTCGGCTGTCGTAGCTTTCAGCAAATCTGCAAACGCTTTACAGCCTTGCTTCGACATTATTTCCATTAGGTTAAGCTCGCTTGGCGCGGCCGTCGGTGCTTCAGCTTCGGCTGAATCCAAAGCCTAGATCAAAGTTTTAATTCATTAATAGAGTTTTAAATAGTGATTGGATACAGAATAACGACTATTATATAGTGAAAATAGTATTGTCTAAAATTATTATTATAAAAATAATTGTGTGAAGCGAAATCATACTAATAACAGTAGATTGTGATTATAATTTAACAAATAACAACCAATCGTGACAATAGCATGATGTTATTTCCATTATTGTTTTGTTACGGTAACATTAATACTCCATCCATCCTATTATTTTTATCTCATGTTGATTATGAATATTTAGGAGATAAACTTGACCACATTTCAAATTATATAAAATGGAAAAATGACAATTAAACCCAAAAAAGTGATGGATATATTTATTTAGATAAAGGTAAAAAATATAAGTGTTATTAATTTTTCTAATTTGATATTTTAAATATGATGATTTTAAAATTCAAAAATAATAATTTTGCATGGGCAAAGAGAGTAAAAAAATTCAAAAGTTTGTTGTGGTAATTAAATTTATGGTAAACTATATCTTTAGTCACCTAACTATCATTTTGGTTTTATTTTGACCATATAATTATTATTTTTCCTCAAAATCATCATTAATATTATCTCTTAGTTTCATATTGGTCATCCGCCATTTAAATACATCAACGGTTTTGTTAATTTCTTTTAATATGACTAATATAAAATCAGAACATAACATTTATAATAATTTTGAAAAAAATAGTTGAGAGACAAAAATTAAACCAAAACAATAGTTAAGTGATAATTTATCTTTAAATTTATTATATTTTATATACTTTTAAAATAAACACGATCATGGTACTCACAGTAGCAATAATACCAATGGTTATGTTTATAATCATAATTAGCGCAATGCAACAACAAAAAAAGGTCCAAACCGTACTTTAAAAGAGGGTTAAAATCAAGCACTTACGTGACTGATTTGTAAGACGGAGATATTGTAAGGAATCTCTTTAACGGATTTGACGTAAGTAGCATCGAGTTTTCCGTTGTTATCTTCAGCGCCGAGTCCAACTTTCCCGCCTTTAAGATTAGTGATGTTAACGTACCCTGAAGTTCCGGGGCAGCTCCGGTGGCCTGAAACATGGTGGAAGTCAACGTTGTTCCGTTGGAAATACGGTGAAGCTTCTTGGAGCCGAAGTAGTCGACGAGGACGTGAAGGGACAGAACGTTCTTGAGGGTGTAGAGGGAGAAACGTCGAGACAGGAGAGACGACATGGCGGTGTTGTCGAGGGCGAGGACGGTTATGGTTTGGCGTCGGTTGATCTGTGAAGCCAGGTGAGTGGCGGTGAGGTAGTGGTTGAAGGTGGAGAATTGTGGGTATTGGGCGAGGATGCGAGTGATTGTGTGCATTAGCGGGGGTGGAGGAGGAGGAGAGAAGGAGGAGGAGGAGGGAAAGGGAGTAGGAGAAGAGGGTGGTGGGTGGTGGCGACATAGTGGAGGAGAGGGTGGTGGAATGGAAGTGAGGGGGTAGCATAGGGATGGTGTTTGTGTTTAAGTAGGGGGTGGAGGACACGTTGGCTGACCATTGCCTACGAAGAGTGAGTGGGTGGGACTACGCTCAGGTGGGCCCTTAATCATCTTATTTGTTTTTGGGAATTTTGTTTGAGGCGATGGAGATAATTTTATTAACTTAATTTTAAAATTAAATAATTTAACCCCTATATTTAATTTTAGGGTTAATACGAAAAAGAATGTTTAAACTATGTTGTTTTTATGTGTTTAAATTTTTTATCGTCTAATATTTTTGTATTATTTTTTTGTTAAAAAACAGTCAATATATTTAACGCATAACCTAATTTTTAATTTCTTTAATTTTTTAAAAATTAAAATTCATAAATATTTTTAAAAAACCTCATTTTTTCATAAAAATCTTAAAAGTCATAAAATCTAAAATGTTCCTCCAATGAAGCTGTGGTCGACCACCATCATTGTTGCCGATCATTCAATCACGGTGAAGGTGATCCTCTCAACCTAGTTTGTTCTATTCGCAAACGTCAAGATTCGAACTCCTGACATTGTTTAAGGTATCTAGTGTCTCATCCACTAAACCAACTGATTGTTGATAATAATAATTTATTTTTAAAATGGCATCCTTGGTTATCTGAAAATAAAATATAAATTTATCTAAAAATTTGAATGAAGCCAAAGAGGATGGCAATATCTTATGCTAGTTTTTGCTAACAAACACATTATATATTTAAAGTTGTGTTTATTTAAGGAATATAAACAAAATTCGATTTGTTTAATAATTAGTAATAAGAGTAATTAGGCTCTACCGACAGTCTCCTTTTCCTTTTTACGGTTAGGCTTTTGTTTTCAGGCTGATGTTGGTTATATTCCATGACTTTGCATAAATTAGTTTTTTTTCTAAAATGTTTCAACGAATTATAATTTGACATTTTAACTGCCAATTATTAATGTTTAATTAGTAACATAATTAATAAGGCCTGTCATTAGATAATTTTAAGTAGGGTAATATAATTTCTACCATCCTATACGTATATTTATTAACCTTTTCTACCCATTCTATGTGTGTCACTATTTGTGTAGAGAGTAGGGAACATATATAATATTTATTTTATTTTATTATTCTTTAGCCAATTGAGTTACGTACCCAGGAAGAGTAGAAGGAAAGAAACAATTAAAAATGATAAACTGAATTATTTAATAAATGGAATATGTTTGGTTGTTATAAATTCTTATCAGTATGATTGAATTTTAATGTTTAACGAGCTTCAATCGGTTTCAAATAATTAAATATTATAAAATTTTCTAAAATGACATTACAACTTGAAAATAATAAAATAAATTCATTTACTAAAATTCAAGTTTATATGTATTCAACCTTGAGATAAATTAAAAAGAAAGCATAATTATCGGTTGGTCAAGCGTTTAAAGACCAACTCGTCACATTCTATAAACAAAGATACACGTATAATCTTATTTCATATGAATTCAAATCTCGATATATATCTTAAAAAATGTAATGTTTCTTTACTTGATAAACACAAATGCTCATGTAACCCCATTTTATATAAATTCGAATCTTGATATATACCTTGAAATATAACGCCTCCCTGTTTAATAGAGAAAGACCAACTCATGACATTCCGCAAAAGCAAAGGACCTCCTCTTCATTTTCCTGGTCATTTTGTTTTGGTCGTAAAAGCTTGCTAATTGGGTTGGAATTGAATGTTGGATCATTAATGTGTGGGCTGGGTTGTAAAAGATGATAAGTTAGGGTTTCTTGCATGCTGGGTGTTTCTACGGTGCTGCTTTTTAGCATATTTCGAATCCAAGTACGAGAGTTTTAGATTAGTTTAAAACGTGATTTTAAGTTGGAAGAGTAAGATATTTTTAAAATCTTTGATTTAATGGCTGTTGATGATGCATAACATGTTGAGAAATGGTTTTGATTATAAAACATGGCGTAGGTGCTTGTTAACACAAATAACAGATCCATTGATGAATGATTGTGATTCTGTTGTGAAATGGCAACACAGGAGCATGAAATAAATCATAGTGTTTCCTTTTCTTTATGAAATTGTGTTTGGTGGAAAGCACCTTAATCTGATTTGTTTGTGTTACGTAGATCAAATTATTTTTCTTTGAAAAAAAGGGGAGGGAGGGGTGTTTTTTAGATAAAAAGGGCTGAGTTTTATAGGGGGCAAGGGCAACGAGTGGAGTT